GTCGGTTTTGAGAAGGTTGTCCGGACCCAGAATTGGGTCCGTCGGAGGAAGCTGTTCTGTAGATGCTTTTGTTTCTTGTTGGGGCAAGCGGGGTGCATATCGGTTGCTGCTTGAACCCAGTTGAAGGTAGCTTTTTATTATTTCGTTTCGTCTGGTGGCATCAGCCTTTTGCAGCCTTAGGTGATTGCTTGAAGCGTTTCTTGATGTTGCGGAGTTTGTGGGTTTTCGCGCAGGTGTCTTGGGATGAAAGCCAAAGGGTTTCATACTTTCTGCACACTATTTTACCGCTTCTCTCACTGTCAGGACCGAGCCTTAGAGCGAGATCGGCCGCAACAGAGGAAAAAAAAGGTGGCCGGCTTCCATTTGAATGATTGTATTGCTGAGATCCGGGAGTAAGCTAAACAATTGGTTTTTAAAATTAATTTCTTTTATAAAAAACTATGATTTTTTTATGAAAAAATATAATTTTTTATGATGAAATTTATGATTTGTTTTTTTTGCCTGAAAACAGTTTATGATTTTTTATGATTTTTTCTTTTTTTTTTAATGATTTTTTCGTTTTTTTTAAATATTTTTTTAATGATTTTTTTTAAATGATTTTTTTTATGTTTTTTTTTGATTTTTTGAAAATGATTTTTTTTTCTGAAAATTTATGATTTTTTTTATGAAAAAATGTTTTTTTTTTAACGGTTTGTTTTATGTTTTTTTTTATGATTTTTTAAAATGTTTTTTGTGTTTTATGAAACACTATGTTTTTTTATGATTTTTTTGATTTTTTTTATGATTTTTTTATGATTATTTAATTTTTTTTGTATTTTATGAAAAAACATGTTTTTTTTTATGAGAAATATATATGATTGTACTTATGATTTTGAAACAATGGTTTTTGTGTTTTATGAAATGTGACAATTTCTATGTTTTTTTATTTAATTTATTTTGTTTTTTCATGATTGTGATGATTTTTATGTCTTTTTCTTTTTTATGATGTTGTGTTTGATTTTTTATTTTTTTGTTTTTCTTTTCTAAATAACTGACTGGAGAACATTGAGCGAACAATAACTTTGCATGTTTTTTTATTATTTCAAACACATGGAGAACAGCAAACAAACAACAACGTTTTTTTATTTCACACACATGGAGAACATTGAACAAACATTGACTTTGCATTTATTTATTTATTTAAATTTATTTTGGCGTTGGCTTTAGGATTGGTGGTTTTTTGACCACTGGTGAGCGAAAAACGAATTGAACAGCAAATTTTGCAGATATCTCAAACTGCACCAACTGCTGCATGATGGCAGGCAGTGAGGTGTCAGTGATGACTTACGAACAAAAAAACAAATTATGTGGTGTGTGTGTGTGTGGGGGGGGGGGGCAGGGCGATGCCAATGTTGGGGCTAGTTGGTCAACGAACAGTGTCACAATTTTTTCCGGGGCTAGTGGCCAGCAAGTAACTTGCATCCAGTTGCTAGCAACAAATAACTAGCAACTAGCAACTAACGACAACCAGTGACTAGCTGCGAGTAGCTTAGCTAGCAAGCAGCTAGCTAGCAACAAGCAACAACTGGCAGCTAGCAACTAACAGCTAGTTAGCAGCAGTAAACTTGATTTTTTTTTGCTATGACAAAATTTGTTGAGCAACTATTTGCTGTAAGGAGGCAACTGACTAAACCTATGCTGTGTGATGAAAAACCTGGGAAGGAAACATGTTTAGGCCAAACAGGGAAAGTCAGTATTGAAACACTTCACTACCTTCACTACCTTTAGGGTTCCAAGATTTCAGGCCAGCAGCAAGGATCCAAAACCCTAAACCCTAAACCCTAAACTCTAAGGAGCTCCGGGGGCAGGGTGACACCCTGTAGATGGGCGCTTAAGGGGTCATAAAAATTCATAAAAAAATCATAAAAAAATCATAAAAAAATCATAAAAAATCATAAAAAAATCATAAAAATCATAAAAAAATCATTAAAAAAACATAAAAAATCATAAAAAAATCATAAAACTAAATACATATGTTTTTTTTTATGATCAATTTTATGATTTGTGTGATTTTTATGATTTTTTTATGATTTTTTTTTATGATTTTTTATGATTTTTTTTTAACGATTTTTTTTTATGATTTTTATTTTTTTTATGATTTTTTTAATGATTTTTTAAAATGATTTTTAATGTTTTTTTTTATGATTTTTTTATGGATTGGTTCAGGAAAGCAACGTCCCAGGCTCCAGGCTTGAGGCTCTAGAATCTCCGACCTGAGGCCTTAGGCTCCAGGCTCGAGGCTCTAGAATCTCCGGCCTGAGGCCTTAGGCTCCAGGCTCGAGGCTCTAGAATCTCGGACCTGAGGCCTTAAGTTCCAGGCTTGAGGCTTTAGAATCTCGGACCTGACGCCTTAGAGAATCTCGGACCTGACGCCTTAGGCTCCAGGCTTGAGGCTCTAGAATCTCCGACCTGAGGCCTTAGGCTCCAGGCTCGAGGCTCTAGAATCTCCGACCTGAGGCCTTAGGCTCCAGGCTCGAGGCTCTAGAATCTCGGACCTGAGGCCTTAAGTTCCAGGCTTGAGGCTCTAGAATCTCGGACCTGAGGCCTTAGAGAATCTCGGACCTGACGCCTTAGGCTCCAGGCTTGAGGCTCTAGAATCTCGGACCTGAGGCCTTAGGCTCAGGCTTGAGGCTCTAGAATCTCGGATCTGGGGCCTTAAGTTCCAGGCTTGAGGCCCTAGGCTTTAGGCCTCAGGCTTGAGACCTTTGTGACTTAGCGGGCAGCTGGCATTAAAGAAGTGAATACCGAGAAAAGAAACTAGCCTTAGGATAGGTCACAAATTTTGAACTGATGATGCACCTTGCCCAGCACAAAGCTGGACCCATGAACAAAACTCTGAACTGTTTTTTTAGGAACATGATGGCGTTTGGTTTCTATGGATTTGACATCAAACAAAATTTCTTACCACAGGCCTTTGGGCCTAGAACCATTATTGGCCAAATCCTGGCGACGTTAAAGATAAAAATAAACACATGAACAATTAAAAAAACATTAACAAAGACAAAAAACAACATTGAAAAAAATCATTCAAAAACATTACAAAACACAAATCATGAACAACGTACAAAATCAAAAAAAAACAAAAATCATACAATTCATAAAAATCATAAAGTGCGTACTTTGAAACACAGCACTCATGCATTCCATCATGGTTGTGACTAAGAGGAACTCTTTGCACTTTGGACCATGAGTTAGTTCAGTCTCACGTGTGGAGATTCAATCATGTCGATAGTCGAACCGACTAGCCCCTTTGGTTGGAAAAGCTTCGCATGGTAGCGGAGCACTGGTGACCCCAGTGACTCCTTTGAGCCCACGCTCTAAGTGTCCCTTTTGCTGCTGAAGCCATCTTGGGGACAGCTTGGACAAGACTTCCAACTAGTGTTGCATTGCTTGGTGATTTACGTGTACTTTCCTGACAAGGGTGCCACAGATTGCTTTGCATTTGCACGTGCTTGGAGAACATCCTCTACATACTGCTGGCAGCTCTTGGTGAACCAGCCCTATCCCGATTAGCATTGTGCTTGGTGAACTTGCTCTTCATAATTTTCTGTCTGCATTGAGCTCTACATATCTGGTTGCATTGCTGATTGCATAGCGCTTGGTGAAGGAGCCCTTTAAGCTGACTGGTGGAACATTTTCGATTCCTAGCATCTACGCATACTGCTGTGAGGCTATTTGCATTGCTTGGTTTTGGAGTGAAGTTTCTTTGAGAAGAGATTGAAGAGATGACGACGATAGACCCAGCGACGTTGCAGAATCTTCTGCAGCAAGTAACAGAAGCTGCTAAGGCTGCAGCTGATGCGTCAAAGAGGTCCAGTAGCTCTTCGACCTCTACTGCTACTGGAGTTGATTGGAGCAAATTGCTCACCAAGCCTGGCAACTTCGACCATAAGTCGATGGATGAGGAGATCAAGCACTTCAGAGACTGGAGCTGGCAACTGGTGCAGTATGTTGGAGCCATAGACTCTGGCTATACCAAGGAGATGGAGGATCTTGCAGCAGACCCCACAAAGCCTATGGATATGTCTACAGCTAGCGCAGCAACGAGGGAGCGCTCTTCCAAGCTATATGGTCTTCTAGCTGGACTCCTGAAGAACCGTGCCCTGCAAACCCTGAAGTCTGTTGGCAATGGAGATGGATATGAAGGTTGGAGGCAGTTACTTTTGAGTTTGAGGCCCACATCCAAAAACCGTGGATTGGCAATCATGTCTGCGGTGATGTCTTGGAGCAGCTTTCAGATGGGAGCAGCCCTGCAACCTCAGTTGCTCAAGCTCGAGGAGGCCTTTGACGAGGCCAAACGGGCCGGTGTAGCAATTCAGGAGGAGGTGAAGGTGGCCGTGGTTTTGCGTTGCTTGTCTGGAGCCCTACGCACTCATGTCAGTTTGCAGCTTTCAGAAGGGATGACCTACATGGAGCTCAGAGAGTGCTTGGTGAAATGGGACAGAGCTCAACAACGCTGGTCGCACCTTGTCTCAACAGATGACAGTGCAATGGAGGTTGACAGAATTGAGAAAGGTAAAGGAAAGAAGGGCACCAAAGATGGAAAAGGTAAGAACTCTTCCAAAGGCAAGTCCAACAGCGGCTACAACAAGTCCAAGGGCAAGGGCAACTCTCAGAACTCTAGCAAGGGCAAGGGTAAGAAGTCTGATGGAAAGGGCAAAGGCTATTCCAATTCTTCTTGGAATTCATGGTCCTCAGACAATAAGGGGAAGGGCAAGCAGTCTGCCAACACCGAGGCCAGATGCTGGAAGTGTGATGGCAAAGGACACTATGCAAGAGATTGCAAAGTACGTGCTGTTCAAGAGGAGCATGTGCAGCCTGAAGCTTCCCCTCAGTCAACTGTGACCAGAACTCCATCAGCCTCAACTCCTTCAACACCTGCCCAAGGAGTTCAATTTCGAGTTGCGCGCATCATGCAGGATGATACCAGCCATGTCAGAGCAGATGTTCCAGTGTTTGACATGCGGGAGCAATATAGCAGTGAGGAGAGTGCCATCAGGGTCGTGAAGTTCTACATTGGAGAGGAGGATGAAGAGTTTGATGAGATACGTGTTATGATTGAAGAAGTTCCCCCTCACAATGACTCCAACGACCTGACGTCGATCTTGATTGACTCTGGAGCTGATACTGCAGTCTTTCCTTCAAATTGGATGCATGCAGGAACTACAGCTGGCTCTCAGGCACGACGTCTTCAAGATGCTCAAGGAAATTTGATCCCTACAAGGGGACGCAGAGACGTAGAAATATTTCTGCCTGACTTGCATGGAAACAGAGTTTGCCTTCGAGAAAGGGTGACAATTTCTGATGCAGTCACCCAACCCATTCTTTGCTATGGACGCCTCATGCAGCAAGGATGTGACCTCAACGCAGCAGACCAGACACTGCGCCATGCTGGCCATGGAATCTCAATTCCCTTGGAGATGCAGAACTGTTCCTTGGCAGTACAAGGATCCATCAGGATGATTTCAGAACGACCACACCATGTGCGCCTGATGAAAGCCATGCTTGATGAGCGCCTTACAGATTTGCCCCATGGTTGGAGCAGACGACATGGTCTTCTCATTGGATTCCACATGAGCAAAAACTTTATCAATCCTTTGATGTATGACCCCAACCTTGTGGAGCACTACAGAACCACGCTCATTCAGTTTGAAGATGGCCATTGGGAGTTGATTGAGATATGTGAGCGCATCAGTGGCTTGGTCTTTGAGGACAACGAGTTTGAAGATGGTGGGATGAGGAATGTGATCACTATTTGCACCAGTGACTACACCCCACCTGAAGATATGGGCTTTACTTTGGAAGGTGAATTGGACTTTGAAGCTGGACGCCAAGATGAGATGCAAGAAGCTGAGATGGAGGTTCCTATTGCCCCTGACGAAGATGCGGTGGTTGAAAGTGCAGCTGTTCAACATCAACCTGATGCTCAAGAGAGCGCTGAGCCCATGGACCAGATTGTGATAGAAGGTTTTGATCCTGAAGGGATTGTTGTGAACGGAGTGGAGCTGAACAGTGAGAGCTCATTGAAAGCTTTGAGACAAGCCTGCAGTTTCCACAACATATCTACGTCTGGTTCCAGGGTGAAGTGCTACAAGCGCCTTGTGAACTACATGAAGGCCCAAGAACTTGAAGCTGCACGAGAAGCTGCGTCTATGTCAGAGAAGATGCACTATAGAGATCCTCTTATGCAGGTTGAGCCCAAGAAACCTTCAGATGCAGAGGTGGCCAAACACAATCTGACCCACATCCCTTGTCAGAACTGGTGTCCACATTGCGTGGCTTTTCGAAGTCGTCCAGATCGTCATGAACGTAACGACCTGGCAAAAGATGCTCAGTTTCCCACTATCTCCTTTGACTTTTGCTTTACAAAGGCTGTTGGAGATGGAGAAGATGACAAAACAGCAGCCTCAGCAATGTGGATGATCATGTGTGACAACATGACAGGGTATGTGGGATGCGTTCCATTGAGAAGCAAGAATCAGGTGAAGCTTGCAGTTTGCGAGCTGATGGCCTTCACCCAGAATGCTGGTCATCATGCAGTCACATATCTATGTGACAATGAACCCAGTGTGCGTTCCATCCTCAGAGCCCTCATCAACGCTCGCCACTCTCTTGGACTTCCAACGAGGATTCAGACCAGCAAGGTTGGAGATCATAGCAATGCTTTAGCAGAAAACAGTGTTGCCAGAATCAGACAGTTGGCAGGTTCCTACATGGATCAGCTCCACACTCACCTCAACATGCACATTGGCACCACCAATGGACTATGGTCTTGGGCTGCAAGACATGCGGCATGGACGTTGTCACGATACAAAGCTGTAAGAGGTGCAACACCCTATGAGCTGGTCTATGGAAAGCCCTATGTTGGAACCTTGCTTCAATTTGCAGAACCTTGCTTTGCGTACGTGGCGACTGCGGCCAAGGGCATGAAGAAGTGGATCAAGGGTATCTTTCTTGGCAAGACTGAGGGTCAAGATGCTTTCATCGTCTATGATGGCAGCAAAGTGCTTCTGACGAGATCAACAAGGAGGATTTCACAGTCCTGGGGCTTGAGCTTGGCCTACTACAAGGACTTTTCATGTCCAACCTATGACTTCCAGACTGGCTTTGGGGCACGCATTGTCCCCACGAAGCGTGAAGCGCTTGCACTTCCTGCTTCAGATGCCTGGATTCCTCTTGAAGCAATTGCTGCAAAGGCCAAAGACCCTGACGCTGAGGCCGTGATCAAAAAGGCGATAGAAGAAAGCCGTGAGGAGAAAGAGCTTGAGATGATGGGCAAGTTTGACAAACGAGATCATGTGGTGATGGCTGAAGATGATGTTGAAGCTACACCACAAGCACCAGTGGAGGAAACCCCTCTTGCTCCTATGGCGATTGCTGTGCCATCAAACCCTGAAGGAGCTGGTGCTGAACCTTCTTTAGTGCCACAGATGAGCCCCCCATCTCAACAACCAGAACCTCATTCATTGCCACAGAGGAGCCCCCAACTTCCACAACAGCGCTTTTCAGCCCTTCCACTTTTGGGTGCAGCTAGCGCATCTTCCAGCGCTACACCAGATGAGCCACGTTCACCACCAACGAGGCGTGGATCCACAGACGAGGGCGGCTTGCCAAAGAAAGCCAGAACGCTTCCAGTGAAGAAACCCAGAGTTGAGAGAATTGCAGAGGAGATGGAATCCAAGATCAGAACCATAAAACTTGGAGATGAGGAACTGTTCACCATGGATGAGCCTGAAGTCAATCCAGAGGACTTTGTTGAGGAGGAGCTTTCTTTTGACGAGGACGCAGATGTTGAAGAGATCCCAGCATGTTTGTGGCGCGATGGAACCCAAGATGAGAAGCCACAAGAACCTGGGAAAGAAGTTGATGAAGTGGCAGCTGAAGTAGAGCTGAAGCGTTTGATGAGCCTCAATGTCTTGCGGGATGCTCAGCCTTCAGATGATAGCATCCAAAGGACTTTGACAACACGCTTTGTCTATGATTGGAGATGGAAGCCAACTGGCAAAGCAGAAGGTGGACAAGATCCCCAGTTCAAATGGCTGCGTAGAGCACGCCTGGTTGCAAGGGAATATGCCTTTGCAGAAGGGAAGAGGGACGATGTCTTCAGCCCAGCTTCGAGCAGTCACCTTCTCAGGTTGCTTCCAGCTCTATACCTTTGCAAGACAGCTTTGGATGACTTCCCAGGAGATGATCCCTACGTTTTGGGGAGCTTGGACATCAAAGACGCCTTCCTTCAAGTAGATCAACGTGAACCACTGCGATTGAAAATGCCATCAGGCGACCGCATAGTGATGAAGAACTTACCTGGCCAGAGAGCTGGTGCCAAGGATTGGTTTGATCACATCAGCAGATTCCTTTGCGCCAAGGCCGAGGTCACTCAATGCTGCTTGAACCCTTGTTTGATGCGCGGCGAAAACATTGCAGTTTTGGTGCACGTTGATGATGTGATGCTGCTTGGAAAACGCAACTATGTTGAGAATGTCTTCCTGCCCCTGCTGAAGTCCCAGTTTGACCTCAGCTGCTCTTTGATCAAGGACGTGGGAGATGAGTTTACGTTTTTGAAGAGGACATACAGGCTGACCTCACATGGCCTGATCATTTCCCCTGGCAACTATGTGCCAAAGATGCTAGAGATCTTTGAAGAGAACTATGGCAAGGTGAAGATCAGCAAGGTCCCAATAGACCCCAACATGCTGGTGGAGGACAAGTCAGATGAGCTCAATGCCTATGACAGTGGCATCTACCGGTCTTGGGTAGGCATGGGACTTTACCTTGCGCAAGAACGATATGATATCGCCTATGCCATCAAGGAGCTCTCTAGCAAAATGGCAAAGCCAACGAAATCCTCAATGTGTGGCCTACGCAAACTTTTGGGCTACTTGCGGCAGACGAGTTGGTATGCTGTGCTTCTACCAACACCTGAGCCTGGCCGTGGAAAGATCGCCCATGTGGACAAGCACTTCATTCTCGAGTCATACAGCGACAGTGATTGGAGTGGGCACCAGGCCCATAGGAGATCAACTTCCTCAGCAATCCACTATGTGAACTCCTGCCCAGTGTTTGCTTCAGCGCGCACCCAGCGCGTAGTTTCATTGAGCAGTTGTGAAGCAGAATTGCATGCACTAGTGAGTGCAGCAGCAGACGGCAAGTACATAGCAGGATGTCTCTCCTTTCTTGCCGGCTGTGAGGTGGAACATCATGGCTATGTTGACAACGCCTCAGCTAAGTCCCTGGCCAACAAGCGTGGAGTTGGAAAGATGCGCCATTTAGCGGGAAAGTTGCTTTGGGTGCAAAATTGCACGGCAGATGGTTCTTTGAAAATTTCCCAGATAGGAACTCTTTTCAATGCAGCTGATTTAGCAACCAAACCTCTTAGCATTGCTCGCATGCGTGCCCTGATGTTTCTTTGCAACATCGTGAATCTGGAGCATGGCTTCGAGATGGTCGGTGAAGATGAGTTCGAGACTCTGGTGAAGCGAGATCAGTTTGGAAAGAATGTGACAAAGATGGCCAAGATGCTCTTTCGAATTGGCTTCGCAATGGAGATGTTTACTGGAGCAGATGGTTTTTCTATCGATGATGGTATGTGCGCCATAGATGAGGCTCCAGCAACTACATCACTGAGTTTGTGGACACCATCGGGCTTTGCACTGGCATTTGCAGTTCTCGCAATCATTGCGGTGTTTGGCTGGATGGGATGGATGATCTACAGACTGCAGAAGAAGCTGAACTTGGTGGAGATCAAGGTCAACGCGGTTTCTGGATTCAATTTTTCAAAAATGGAATCTGAACGCATGGAGCTGCTTGGTGACCATGCTGACCTGAAGAATGCCGTGGAGAGGGTCCAGATCTTCTCAGAAAATCTATGGGGTAGTCTTGTTGAAGTTGGTGGCTATATGGCTGACCATGAGACAGCGCTATCAGATGAGCGGCGTGGAGAGTTGGAACAGAAGGAGGCCGAGAATCAGGAGATCGCAATGCAGGATGATTCTTCTGATGAGAGATTGCTGTCAATGCAGCGTTCCATCATGAGGATGCACAGGCGCTTCTTCGAGATGAGCAAGCTCTACACGCACCTATGGATGGGGCTTGTGCGCCTTGGTGGATTCATTGGCAGCAACACCATAACTGGTGAAGCACATTCCGATCTTGTTGACCGCAACAATGAGATCATGGAGGAATGGCAAAGGCAGGGCCATTCAAACCTTCTTGGCCGCCGCCGCCATGTTACACCACCTGGCGGTACTCCAAGGATTGCAGCTGTTGAAGAAAGAACTGAAGGAGATGAATCAGAGACGATGGAGCATCCAGATGACTTCATCGATGAAGACGACACAGCCTATGGAGCACCACCGAGTGAAACAGAGCCTGAACCCCATGGAGCATCAGATGAACCTATGGAAACATCTATGGCTGAGATGGAGCCTGATGATGAGGCAGAGCATAGCGAAATCAGTGAGCAGATCGAGCTGGCGAACAGAATGGAAACTTTGCGCAGAGAGCTTGAACAGCGAATGCAAGATGCTAGTTTGGTAGGTGACGAATTGGAAGCCAATAGTCTCCGTTTGCAATTGGCTAACGTTGAGAATCTCCAATATGGCCTACCACGTCCAACCATTTAGGCACATCATGGCACATCCAAAGGGATTTTTGTGCCAACTTTCAATTCATGTCATGTTTCAAGTGCAGTGACCTGAGCGATGACCTTTGCTCATGCCACTGAGGAGGAGTGCGTACTTTGAAACACAGCACTCATGCATTCCATCATGGTTGTGACTAAGAGGAACTCTTTGCACTTTGGACCATGAGTTAGTTCAGTCTCACGTGTGGAGATTCAATCATGTCGATAGTCGAACCGACTAGCCCCTTTGGTTGGAAAAGCTTCGCATAAAGCAATCATAACAAATCATTAAAAAATCACAAAAATCCGTATAAAAAACACCAAAAAAATCAAAACATATTAAAGCACATTAAAAAAATAAGATAAAAATTAGAAAAACATAAGAAAATCATTAGATTCTTCAAAATATAAAAACCCATAAAAAACTTTTTTAAAAAACCATAAAAAAAATCATAAAAATCATATTTTTCATAAAAAATCATAAATTTTCATAAAAATATCATAAAATTTCATTTAAAAAATCATTTTCAAAGAATCATAAAAAAATCATAAAAAACACATAAAAACAAGTGAAAAAAACAAAAATCATAAAAAAATCATAAACAAAATCATAAAACAATCATTAAAAAATAAAAAAAATCATAAAAATTTTAAAAAACATAAAGCATCATATCCATTTTTCACCATTTTTTTCAAATCATATCCTAAAAATCATAAATATTCATAAAAAATCATAAAAGAAAATAATCAATAAAACAATTGTTTAGCTAATGTTTTGGATCTCAATTGTATTGAATACTTTACTGCCCCTCTAGACTCCTACCAAAGTTTTCAGCCCAGAAAGAACATGAATTATGATCTTTTCAGTCAATCCCGTTATTAATTAATAGTATTAATTTAAAACGGGATGGAGTAAGAATCTGCTTACGGAAAGATGTGGGAAGGTGAAGTATTGAAGGCTCTCTTACTCCGCCATCGTTTCGATATCGTGTCAATTACATTGGGTATTGAGAACCTTGTGAGACTCAGTTTGACGATGGCGTTGCAAAAATTGAGATTTCTGAAGAAGATCAGAAAAGGCGTGGTTTCTTTGATGACGGAGCTGGACCGCCTGAAGTGACAGAAGCAGAATTGGCTTGGCTTGACCAGAACGCCATGCAATTGACAGACTCAGGCAGCTGGAGATCATTGATGATGTCAGCGACAATTTGAACGTAGATGCATGCATGAAGCTGGACACGCGTTTGGTGAGAGATTGGAGGTTCAGATCAGAAAGATGGCAGAGAAGGGCCAGATTGGTAGCACGTGAATTTCGAGATGGAGATGCCAGTAGCAGCGATACTTTCAGTCCAACGACACCTTTAGCTGTCGTCAAGATGCTGATTGTATTGAGTTTGCTACATGATTGGCAGTGGCATCAATCGATGTTGGTGATGCTTTTTACAAGTTCCTCAAACATCAACTGTGCTGATCGAGATCCCACTTTGGGCTATGCATGCCAGGTGAATTTGGAGGTTGCAAGTGTTTTTGGATTCTTCGAAAATGCCTACCAGGACAACGTGTTGCAGCCTCTGAATGGAACAAGTTCTTCATTGATGTTTGCACGAGACCAAGGCACAATCTTCAAACACAAAACCGAGAAAGCTTTCAGCGCATATTGATGATTTGTTGGTTGTTGGTTCGAAAGCCTACATCAAGGACTTCTACAAGAAACTTTCCCAGGAATTGAAGCTGAAGATTGAAGGACCTCTACAACCTGGAGATGAAGGAAGTATCTTTTATCTCAAACGTGAACTGCAATTCAATGAGGGTGGCATTGATGTGCCCCCAAGTTCAAAGTACATTGCGAAGTTGGCTGAATTGTTGAAGGTGAGTGATAGACGAGGTCGAGCAGTACCCCATCATGGATGTTTGCAGATCTATGACCCTGAATCCATTTCACAGGGTGAATACCTCGATGCTGAAAATGCCAAACTTTTCAGATCGGCACTTGGGATTTGTTTTTATGTGACTCAGGAGAGATGCGATATTCAACATCCAGTTCGAATCTTGGCGACCTACATGGCCAAACCGACTCAACTGGCAATGAATGGACTCAAGAAACTGACAAGCTATCTTATCCAGACCAAAGACATGAGGGTTGCATTACCCGAAGGTTGAGATGCATCAAACTACGGTTGGTGGCCAGGAGAGAAGAGATTCCAAACCATACATGTTAGAGCTGTATAGTGACTCCGATTGGGCATCATGCAAGGTAAGCAGAAGGAGCACAAGTTCAGGAAATCTTGCCTGGTACACAGCCATTCACGATCTCAGACTTCGGTTTACCTGAGTTCAATGGAAGCTATGAGCTTGCTGACGGAAGCAATCTACTTGAAGCAGGTTTTGCGATTTTTTGTCAATGACTTTGGTGGCCTCGGTGACCAGGAGAAGGTGATGATGAGACTGAGATTGGACTCTACGAGTGCTCAAGCGTTCTTTTCTCGTTTGGGTCCTGGAAAAGCCGCCAAACATCTTTCAACCCGACTTCTTTGGACGCAACAAGCCATGAGAAAACAATGGTTCTATGTGGATCGTAAATCGACCAAGGAGAACCCAGCTGACTTGAACACGAAAGCGCTATCGAAGGAAAGGCGCGAGTTCTTGATGAAGAGAAGTGGATTGAAAAACCAACATTTTGAGGAGAACGATGATGTGGTCTGCAGTGGAAAGAAGAAGCAGCTAGTGAAACTTTTGGTCAACATGATCGTGGCGAGCAATTTGCAAGGATGTGAAGAAGCTCAAGCTGGCGTTAGAACTACGTCATGGATTTTGACATGGGCATTTGTGGTGATCATTTTTCTTTTGGTTTTGGTGATGAGACTTTTTCTCAAGCTGACGAGCAAGATGGAAGAGCTGGAGAGGTGCAAGTTTGCTCTGAAGACAGTGAAAGAGGCAATGATAATGAACGAGGAAGATGATCCTTTGTGCAGTGAAGGTGGTTTTTTTCGACAAAGAGGAGAAGACATGGAAGCAGAAGAAGAAGAAGAAGACGAAGAAGAAGAAAAAGAAGAAAAAGAAGAAGAAGAAGAAGAAGAAGAAAAAAAGAAAAAACATAAGAAGAAAAAAAATAAGAAGAAAAAGAAGAAGAAGAAGCAGAAGAAGAAGAAGAAGAAGAAAAAGAAAAAACAACATGCTTTTGATGAGGATGTGACGATGTCAGATACCGAACTGATGAGCGGATGTATCATCCGTCATCGCGTTGTTCGGGAAGAAGCACTGCATACAGCAGCCAATGGTGATGGAGATGAACATGGAGCAGATTATGCTGATTCAGATGAGAGTTTTGTAGAAGAAGAAAGTCCGAGAAGTCGCTATCAGCGATATCTACAATCAACACTGGAGGAAGTCAGTGATCCTGACGATTGGTGTGACATTCACTATGGACATGCAACTCAAGATAGTCCAGTTCATGGAGAAGGAGAAGATGAATCTGGAGCTATTTCACCAAGATCCATATCGCGTGGTTCAGAAAGGAATGAAGAGCCACAACCCAAATCTATGCCTATACCTTTAGCAAAACAAGGTGCACGTCGTAATGCTATGGATACTGCAATGGATATGGCAGAAACAATTTCAAACAGGGGTGGGCCCTCGTGTTCATCAGCAGATCCGGAAATTGCTGAATGCACAAATACAGACTATTTCCTCAGCAGTGTTCCTATGGCGAGTTTCTAGTGTATTTCTCCGGTACCACGTGAACCTGTGGCACTGGATGATTACAGACGGAATCTTTTGATGCAGGGGATTGGACCAGAAAATCTTGTGGTTCACAATTGTCGCAATCTTTCACAAAGAATCCCTCTAGAAACAGATCAAAGTCTACGACAACGGCAACTACGACTTTTACGGAATCTTCAAAATTTGCTTATCAAATTTCAATTAGAAGCAGGTGAGCAAGTTCGTGCTTGGGTCAATGATGACGGAAGCGTTGATTTCTTTGAAGAGGCAGACACAGATGCTGGTAGTTCGCTACACGAAGAAGGCGAAGAAAATGAAAAAACAAATGATGATTTCCAACCTGGTGGAAACATAGATAGAGACAGAGATGGAAGACCCGATGGCGATGGTGGAGATCGAGAAGGACCAGCGCGTGGTAGCAGATCTTCGAGCGCTACGTTGCTGGCTGAGTTAGGAATTTAGGATGTAGCACAGAGGCACCAAGAAAGAAAACAACATGGACTTAAAGCAGTCCTGCGGTGCCAATAGAGTTGAAACAAACAATGCTGTCAAACATGTAAAGGTCAAAGTGTGCAAAACGCAAACTTTGAAGGAGGGGTGTCAAACTTTAGTACATATAGTTGCACCCATGACAGCATGTAGCATATGTGATTCATGCCGCATACAGTGGCTCAAGTAACTCAATAAGCAAGGACAAAAGGGGTTTCTCCGACTCTTGACATATATATATAATATTTTTTTCAAACACCGGTAACAGGCCCCCAACAGTGTGGGGTATAGCAAAAACCAATGTAAGATATAGAAACAACAGTAGCTACGGAAACAGTACTAAATCAGGTTAAACATTCTTGGAACATATTGGAACTGCAGCAGCAGGATTTTGTTTTGTCAAAAATATGGCCATGTGTGAGGTATACCCCATTTTCAATTGCGCCCATGTGGCTAGAGTTTATGTTTGTTGTGGCTACCCACCTTATGCATGACATGAAAACTGCCTGCCCTGCCGCGGCTACAGCTTTGGTGGCGTTTGAGTCATCGCCTTGGTGTGTTCGACACCGTTGTTGGTGGATGATTAGTTGGGGGGTTGCACTACCCTTCAAAAACATTGGGGAATATCGTAATCCACAAACTGGGAATCCTTATTCACCAAAATTTCAGACGAAAACATATTGGAGTCGACTTGGATGTTTTTGCAATTACCCCATGGGAAAATTAAAGGGTAACTACGAATACCAACAAAACACCACGAGTCCGGCGCACCAGGAAATTACCACAACCACCATGGATAACCATGATATCATGACAGGCTGGGGGGTCGCTTTCAAATCAGGACCAAGCACCAAACATATCCAGAAACCATATCAAATTAGTGCTGACCACAAACAAATTTTGACGCATCACCGACGAATGCAGATTGGTGCACATCGCATCAGCACGTCTTCAAGCAGCAAACGCAACAAAACACGCATCAACCACAGATTACCGTAACATTTTCCATTAATATCATGAGTTGCTAGCATGCCATGTTGGTTTTGCCATGGTCATCTTGCTCAACAAAGCGAACGGCAAATTTCGCACCTTGCCAAAGTGTTTATGAACTTCACGCGTTACTCATATGTTGATTTTGTGGGTTTGACTGCGTAGGGCACAGGCACAAGTGAGTGTGCAGTTGTGCAATCAAATTTGATTCTTGTGACGCGCGTGTAGGCTGTGGCAACGAAATGTGGTGTGTCTACTAGGGGGGTATACCGATACTTATGAAATGTCAATATCGTAGGAAAAATGATTATACACCATGGGATTTAGAGTTTTCACCAAATTTTCAGCCAAACCCACATTGTAAATTTTCACTCTGGAAGCGTTGTGAGGTTCATGTGGTGCCTTTTTGTGGCCAAGATTTCAATCGAAAATGTCTGTGCCCACGGCAATCTGGAGAAGGACAATGGCAAACCACAATTTTACGAGAAATAGGTGGGGATTTTAACCATCCCAACTTGCGTTTATTTTTGGTTCTACCAGAGTGTTTCACTTTTTTCCTGCGAGGTTTTTCTTGGGTAAAGGCGCCAAACACTCATTGCACAGAGATTTATTTCATAATTTTCGAAACTCAGAACATCAAGTTTGTTTTGCCTTCAGTGCCATGCAGCAAAGTCTGGTGAGGAGACGTCAGTGTTTTGACGGGGTTTGGTGGTCTTGTGGGCATCTTGATTCTCTTCCTGTTCATTCTCACTTTGCTTCGAGCTGCGGCGAAGAAACGCAGAGAGCGGAAAGGATATGAAGAGGCATCTGGGCTAGCAATCAGACGTGCCGGGACTTAAGGGCACAATCTTCGTAGTTCGTGCATGAGAGCTGTCTTCGGCAAAATTGCACAGGGGGGAAATATTTCCCCACGTCAGCTTGATGAGTCAAATATGTCCGATACCACACTTAGGCTTTGGTAGCTGCGGCCAGAACGTGGGTAGGCTCTATTCGAAGCTTGGTGCTATATCATCTGTGTATCATTTGTGGTCGATCAGAAGTCGATTTGATTGAACTTGTTTTAGGAACTCCTCAACACGACCTGATCCCGGTGGCGGACTTTGCCGTTGAAGTCAAAGGCAGGGAAACTAATTCATGGTAAGTCAGAGGGTTGGAATATTTGCGGCACCATGGCTCCCAAAACGCCAGGTGCCATTTTTTCGCAACGGCTTTGATTCGGTCACATCGTAGCATGTCAAATTCACCGAGATCCACTGGAACCCGTCACCATGACTGGAACCAGTGCCCGAGGTGTGGATCTGGCATCGCCGTGCCCAGAGTTGGAGTTGCAAGATGCGCTGTGGATTCACGGGTTGTTGATCTTCCGTGGTCAAGACATTACCGGGGAGGACGGTTTGTCGGTTTGTCCAAATGTTGTGTGAAATTGTTTGGTTCAGAGCGCCCAGTGCTTGATCATAGCAGTGGAACAATGAGAAACAATATTGCACACAAAAGTTGGATGGCAGGATACTTCAAAGGTCTTGGTTTATTTGCAGTTTTCAAACTCCGTCCAGTAAAGTGGTTAGCGAACTGCACAGGCGAGTGAACCTTGTTGAAATTCAACCCCTTATTTATTCTTTCATAGATTCATAAGCTTTCATGTGCTACATGTGGATTCTTTCCATATGATATTCCCATTTATTCCCCACGACTCTCATCTTCTCTGGGGAAGTCTCGCGACAGGAGCTGTTGCGCTTTGCCGCGCTTTTTGCCGAACCAGCGAAGGCCGCGGGACAGCAAAGTGCTGTGGCGGTCTATCGCGTCTGTGACCGCGATCCCTTGCCACGAGGAGGGACTGATTTGTGACCCATTATCATTACCTCCGTGATCTGCCAGCAGAGAGCATGACGGCAGGACAAGACTTTTGGCATTCGGACAACTCCTATGTCGGATGCACAGTCCAGTCCAGTCCTGCAGTCGCAGTGTCGTGCATAGCGAGTGAAGGGACGAATCGCGTCGCTCCGAGGCTCAGGAGTGCAGCGGTCCCACCTTGCTCTACGCATTAAAAGTTCCTCAGGGCCCCGAGGTGCAGAGAGACGTCAGGATTCCATAAGGATTCCATAAGGATTCCATAAGGATTCCATAAGGGTCAAAAGTGTTTGGATACAGTGCCGATTCGATTTCTTTTGGTTTCCTTTGCCATCCTGGCCATCCTGGCCATCCTTTGTCCCTTTTTCAACTTCTCGAATACGTCTAACTAGAGTCTAACATGTTGAAACTGCACAGCTTCATATTTTTTGGGTCCCTTGGGTTGTTGTTTCGCTGTGTTTTTTGCCGCCAGGGACCCTTGGGCGACACCCTCTTCCTGGATGCAGCTGCTGATGCAGTGAACCTTGAGGGCCTGTCACGCTCCAGGGCAGAGATCAGGAAACTGCGCGCCAGGCACAATGTGGCGCCTTGACAGAACTTCACAGAACAGCCGTGATTTCAGATACATTGGAGATGATTAATGCTGTTAGGCGGGTTAGGATGGTTAGGACCAAATCAACAGAATGTAAGGACATACAACAGGAAACTGCAAAAGAATTGGTTACTGGAATGAGATGATATGAGATGAATGAGATCCAGAAAGTTAGGACACACCAAACATCCAAAACTCCACAGGCCGACGCCGGTCTCAGGCCTTCAACGCCGGTGCTCCGCTCCCAGAGTTCTCCGAGTCTCCACCTGTGCTGCACCCTGTGCTGAGACATCATCCCATCACTGGAGATGAGGTGGTCAGGAGTCTTAGCATTCCACAGAAAAAAAAAGGATGACCAAATATGGCTATGGATTCTATGGATCAATAATGATCAATACCTATACAGTATACATACTACCATGTTTAGGGGGACAAGGTTTTGACCCATCCCCTATGAACAAATGAATCACTGGAACGGAGCAAAGTATCTACTTCTCTCGTAGCTCGATGTGGAATCCCTCGGACCAATGCCATGATGCCATGCCGCCTTTTCGAAGGTCTTTGTGAACGAGGCCTACGTCTCACAGATTGAGGGTCTGCCAGAGGCCAATTACTCCAATTTTCGAAGTTCTTTTGAGTCGAGTCAGACTCCACTGCTTCATTTCCAGTGATTGTCAGATTTGTCAGAGCTCCAGAGTCTTACCAGTCTTACCATCTATGCACCAACGCCATGCAGGATGAATCGCAGCAGCTCCTGCGGCAGCTACGTTCCCGCTTGACGCAACGTTACCGGCATCGCTGGCAGGAAGGAGATGTCGTGGCCTCTTGAGATCAAGGGAGTCGTGGAGTCTTTTTTGGGTGTTCAGGTTCCAACCTCCAACACAGAAGTCCGTAAAAAATGGGGATTTCACTCAATGATGATTCAATGATGTAGCCAATTAAGAATTTATATCTAAGCCTCTAAGCCTTCTAAGCCATGAATATACACTTGGATTTGTGTCGAAAAGGGGTATGTTAACTCCATTTCATAGCAAAGTTAATGGGGAACACAGTGACAAAGCACGGGATGAAATAGGGGTTTATCTTTGAGAAAACCCCATGTCAAGCATCCAGAAGGGGATACTGCATCCAACATGTGTGATTGTTAAGAGTCAATTTGCGCTCGCTAGAAATGAGGTTTGGGACAATCATCGACTGCAGCACAAGGTGGGAAATGGGATCCTAAGTCTGGGGGCAATTTTCCACATTACATATCGGTTAGAACTTGCAACAATATCATATCTAGATTGCAGATTTGTGATATCTATTCTCTCTCTCTATAATATATTATATATGTAATATATACATATTAATATGAATATGTATATTAATAGACACATATACACACACATATGGGTATGTATTTCTTTGGTGGGTTCAAAGTTTTAAGGGGAACAGAAGTAGAGGCACCTCGAATCATACCCCATGAATTCTCTCTTTTTGTATCTTTTTGTAATGTACCCGACTTTTAAAACCTATATATATATATATTTACAGCAACCGGCAATAGCAAAAGAGCCACACCAATTTATCACTGCTGCCCCTATTGCTCCTGCTGATTCAGCTTTGGCCTCGCAGGCCACAACCCTCGAGCTGCCAAAGAATGCAGAGCGGGTCATGTGGCGAGTGCAGACTCATGGTTTTGGGTATCCAACGAAGCGATTTGAGGGAACCACCGGTGAGGAAAAAGTGTGGCTGGAGTCAGCTTTTGTAGAGATGCTATTTGGACTATGAACCTCAGCTTCCTGGATCTTTCCTGCAAAATCCCTGGTTGTTGTGGAATAAGCAATTTTTCATTGAATTCTGAGCAGCGTCAAAGTCAAAGGAGACCATAGGGACAGAGAGAATGAGAGGCTTCAACTGAAAGTGGGACATTTCACTTGCGAACTGCTTTGCCTTGCTTTGCTTCGCAGTTCTTTTTTGGATGAGAACGCCGCACCCCCATATGCCTTTCTGCTCAGAACTTTCGAGCCTTGGAAAGGGAAGCTCAACTTGGAATGCCAACAAACAAAGCTCTTCACCCAAATCACTGCAGACCAGCGGCATGTGCTTGAGGCCTTTCTCACAATCAACAAGCCGGGTGAACTCAGTGAACTCCACTTCACCAAGTTTCCGTTCTCACCTTGGTGAATTCAGCTGACCCACGGATCCCCTAGACGACCCCTTAATGAAGCTCCCTTGGCTCCGTCGGCGCCATGGCGGACCAAAAGGTGCTGGAAACCTTCAAGCGCTTTGACAGCGATGGCTCTGGCTCCATCTCCCGCGAGGAGCTTGGTGAGGCTGGTGCTGAAGGGCCGAGTATACTGAGTACCCCCTTCCCCTGAACCAAAGGGTCAACAGCAGTGCGGGTTTTTTCCATTCAAAAGCAGGAAAGAGAGAAACTATGTCACTATGTTTTGTCGTTGCTTTTTGAATAGTTTTTCAGTTTTTCCTCAATGTTTTTGGGGCAAGCTTCTGTCCCAGGTGTTGAAGTCCCTTGAAGGGTCGGTATGGGACGATGCCTCCATTGATGGTTTGCTGGCAGCTGCTGATGAGAGCGGCGATGGTGAGTTGCAGGTGGAGGAGAGTATTTTTCTCCCATCCCCGGCGAATTCATAAGAAACTGGATGATCAGAACCCATCAGAACCCATCAGAGCCCCCATTCACCATCAATGGGAATCCATGGGGTGAAATGCGATTCATTTCATTCCCATGGTCTTTTTTTTTGGATTCTCGGTGGATCTATTTCACGACGTTGTCTTTGAACATGTATATCCAGATGTCCATTCATCTTCTGTGCTTAGTAGGGAATGGGGGAATGGGATACTTGTTATGGCAGTTATGGGGGATAATTCCATTGCGAAGATGTTGATTGCACCAGTGAACCAGTCATTGCACAGATTACTGATGGCGCCATCCATGGAGGAGTTTGTCAAGTGGGTTTTCGCTGAAGACCAAGCCATCTCTGGTGGTGTCACGGGCAAATTCATCTTGAAAGTTTCGGGTTGTTCCAGACCAGAGCTCAATGGCGTCTATGTGAAACAGCCCGAATGCTACTATCGGAGGCCAATCTTCCATTGCATTGAGAATGAGAAGTATTTGTTCTACCACGGAAGCAGGCCCTGAGCTGACACGGAAAAAAACAGTGCCATAATTTGAGGATTTGAGGGCCAACTGAGTCATGGTGTGTGATGATGCTGTAGATTGTTGGAAACGCCTTTTTTCAAGGCTGATAGAAGTGTTGATAGTACGTGTGAACCAGGCAGCAGTGGCAGATCTATTCGAGAACGGGAAAATATGCATCGGCCCGTTTAAAGACTCATCGAGCAGCTCACATGCCTGGAGACAACGTGAAATGGGCCGTGTGGAAAACCACTGCCAGTCTCTTGGCGGAAACAAGTTGCGTACGGTCTGCCGTGCAACAAACCACCAGATGGTCCTGTCCCATTGCCTCGTCCCATGAAACAAATTGAAGCTGGCCACTGTTTTGATGTTACCAAAGCAATGTGGCGGTTAAGAAGTCAACTTAGCGGAGGAAACCACCCATAGAAAATGAACACAGTGGAGTCTGAGCCAAAAGTGTCACAGTTTTAGGCAAGAAGAAGAGCTTTGTCCAAGAATCGCGGATGAAATGCACCGCGGAGCCGCACATGTCCGCGGAAGAAGAATTTGCCAAGGCCGCCGATGCGATCAAATTTGATGAGATTTTCTTCAAAAAAACCGAGGAGTCTTTGGGCAACCGACCTGTGTACAAGCAGTGGAAAGGGGATGACTGGGCTGAACGCTTTCTGTTCTACGAAGGACCAAAGAGCATGTGGAAGGTTGGCAACTCAGCGGCCTTTGGCAGGCCCTCCTTGTACACGTCGCAGACAACAGATGTCTATTCCCCAGATTTGGCCCTCTGGATGGATGAGGCTCGGGGTGGAAAGATTGCAGTGTTGGCGGTGGACACTGATGGAGTTCCGAACGGTATGCATGGGGGTTTGAAGATCAACAGAGCCATCAAAGATGGATGGAAAGATCCTGCCTTCCCCCACAACAATGACTCGATTGGAGAAAAGGCCGCAAAAAACTGCAAGTACAGTCGATGGTTGAGGGCCCGGGCACTCCATTCACATCCTGCTCTCTTTGCAGACGTGGAACCTGCTGATGCTTGCCAGGGGACTGTTGGCAACTGTTGGCTGATAGCAGCAATGTCTGCGTTGGCCGAGTTCCCCTCCTACATCAAGAACAACCTTTTTGTGACCAAAAAGGCCTTTGAAGTTCGGAAATGGAAAACAACGGTTTGAGTATGTTTGACTATACAAACCAAATGTTTTGTGACGCGAGGGGTTGACGACCCTGAAGGTTTCTAAAGATGGCAAATATAAGGTCAAGCTTTTTGATGGCCGCAGCAATCGCTGGGAGATCATTGAAATTGATGACTACTTGCCATGCACGCCTTGGGGCGGAGACAAGCCAGACCTGCTATTTGGTCACATGCCTGATGGGAAGATGTGCCTGGCGCTGCTTGAGAAAGCTTTTGCCAAGATGTATGGTAGTTGGTCTGATTTGGCCGGTGGCTTTCAAGCCGTTGCCTGGTTTCATATGACCAGCTGCACGGAATACGTGTGCTACGGTGCATCCTACCGCGGCTCAGCGCCCAAGTGGGTCGCCAGCAGCGACATCTCCGTGGTGGCTGGGCATACGAAGAGCCAGGCTCTAAAGCGTCTAGGGAAGTTGGGAGAAGGTGCCAACTTCGAGGAGAAACAGAGGACTGGATGCGCAGGGTGCACCAAAAAACATTGGAGATATTTCAGAACATACTCAGGATGGCTATGGATGAAAGCTCTCAAAGTGGAACATGTTCTTTTGCAATCCTTTACAGCTGACCCTTGTCTTTTCTCAAGACTTTTGTCATTGAAAATCCTCCCGTTCAGGATTGGGCCGTGGATCGAATTCAAGAAACTTGATGGAGACGGGCCTGAATCTGGATGGCTGAAATACTACGCGAATGGCAAGCGCTTGGCAAAGCGGACCGCTGCCAATGAACTGCGCGTCATCGTTGTAGAGGCTGCGGTGGTGCCACAGCATGTGCGCGGCTCAAACAGAGTGAAACTGACAGTGAAACTTAAACCGCGGTCGAACCTACCAAAATGGAAACGTCGTGATGCAGTCGAGTTCATGCGAAGGTGATTATGTCATTGTGGCAGGGAAGAGTATCATGTATTATAGTCATCGCTAATGCTTCAACTTTCTTGCTGCATGTGTTGTCTTAGTTCTTTCGACTTCATCGAGAGGTGTAGTTGCGTGAGGGTGTATTAGCCCTTGCGAGCTGAGTTGTCACATTGGAACTGCTGGTGACACTGGTTGTTGGAGAACGGTTGGTTCGTCGTGGATTTTGCAAGACCCTTTCTCGTTCAGACATTTTGTATACTGCATTTAGCTTCTGTGTGCAGTGTATTAGCTGTGGTTTTGGATACTTCTGGGATTGCACTTTCGCAGTGGGTGCTTTTGTATCATTTTGTGTAGCTTGGCTGCGAGCAGCACTCCCTGTAAAGCGTCTGCAGGATTAATCAGGATTGCAGTTGATATTTTTCCGCCTCTGGAAGCCTTTTTCAGAGTGCGTCGTTCAAACTGTTGGCGTGGCGCTCTTTCACTACTCTTTTGCTTGGATGTTGCTTGCAACTTTCGAAATCGTAAAAATCGATAAAATAAACACAATCTGACTACATTTCCCTTATATCCTATCATCGATATCATCATTCATCATGACATTGAACCCCTAGTACCACCATTGCTCGACACTTGCTAGCGCAACTTCTTCCATACCGCTGCTCTGCTTCATTTCGTCTTTTGTCGTTTTTCTGCAGCATGTCCTGCAGTGTAATGCTCACATATCCATCCATATCCTGCATATGACTTGCCACTCTTCATTCCGCACCATTTCAGGCATGGTCACATTCATGACATTTCATGACTGCATATCTTATATTGCGTTACGTATCGTCGTATCCTTCCGTCAATATCGGGGTGTTCGAGGTCGCCAGGGGACGAACTCCATGGGATTTGCGATTTCTGTGTGAGGTGTGTTTGACTTGATCCCAACATGGCGACAATATGCGACAATCATCATTTGCAATAGGAACGGTCATCAGAAACCATCTGCATTTGGCAGATTTTCCAGCTGGCCATGTCTTAACTCAGGCAATGGGAGCCATCTCGGGGGACAAAGCGTCGATCGGGAAGGCTTTCGACTACAGTTTCAAGAAGTATGTGGATGCAGAAGAGATGTGGGAAATTTTGCTCAAATGCGACGAAGGAAACTACCTTATGGCGTCTTCGGCCTCCAAATCGAGAATTGAAAGAGATTCTGGCATGGTCCATGGCCATGCCTACAGCGTCTTGCACGCAGTCGAGATTGAGGGTCTCAGGTTGGTTTGCTGCAGGAACCCGTGGGGCAACGATTCTGAATGGAATGGACCTTGGAGCGACCGCAGTCCTGAATGGAAGGCCCACCCAAGCATTGCAGAGGCATTGAACGTGGATTTCCAGACAGAAGGCTCCTTCTGGATGGATTTTGAGGATTGGCTCTATGTCATGGGACAGCTGCAGGTCATGAATTGTAAGATGCCATCCAGACGTGGTGACTTTCACAATCAGATCGTAGAAGAGGACGAAGATGAGCAGGAGGATGTGCCGGATGTGCAGGAAGATGCTGAGGATGAGGACCGCCCGAATTGCCAATGGACGTTAGAGATTCAGAGACGTCTATTCATCACAGTATGCTATCATAGGCATCCTTGCAAGTTTGACCGGCCGTAAAGTGAGAGAGATATCAAAACCACGCTACATTATTTGGGTTTGTACATGGCTGCTTTCATTGGCTACGTTCGCTCCATTTCAGTATTCTGCCCGAGGCATCATGACTGGCATGACAGTACCAGTAAGGACATGCGTATCCTGCATCTACGGAGGGAGAATTGGGGAGTTTCTGTGATTCCCCCCGCAGCACTTGGTGTGGATCTCGAGTGCACACATCTTCTCTGCGCATGGCTTGTCCGTTAAGTTTCGAGTGGCAGGCATACTTCTTATATAGGAGTGTCTGTGTCTCCTCTTCATTTCGCGTCTGCCAAGGGACATCCAGATCGCATAATGTGGCACATGACATGCAAATTTTCAGTCCCCCAAAGCTGCGCCTGGCACAGAGTCACCAAATGTAGTGCGTGCCACGGGATTTTTTCGAAACGCTGGAGACCCAGCCAGGACCTTAACCTCGCATGCCATTGGGCGACCTTTCGGGCTACCGTTTGGCGATGTTTAAGGAACAAGCGAACAGAGAGCGCACTCCGCACCTGTCGTGCAGATCTTACCTAAGGTCCACAGTCAACGGACAATTCTGCGAAAGAAAAGCACACAGTTTTGTGCACTTGCATGTGTTCAGCGCGTGTCCAGAGCTCGCACGTTGCTGCAGAAACATAGCTTTTGAGAGCATGTGAGATGTGAGAGTGTTTTGGTGTGAGAGTGCCTTTCTAAACTTCCTTTGAAAAGGTTGCTTGTGCGCTAACAGATTGGTTGGCCTGCGCTTGGCCATTGCCTGCATAGTCAATGAAGTCTGTCCAGCACAGTGCCACATGAGCAAAAGATGACGCATACGCACGCGCGGACGCACTACAGAAGTTCCACTGAACATGTTACAGGACGCCTTAGCTTATGTTGTTACATGTTGTTACGGTCACGGCCTCGCTCACGCATGCGTTTCGCAGGCTCGCTCACGCAGGCGTTTTGGGCTCGCCTACGCATGCGTTTTGCTTCATATGTGGCGTTTGGCTATCTAGAAGTGTGCATAGCGGTGAGGTCGCACATGCATGCGTTCTCACATACATCATATCATCAAAGGAAGTTGGGAAGCAGTTACGGACAAATAGAATTGTGATGAAGGGTGGGGTGAAACTTCACACTACATAACAATATATCACGAAAGAATTGACCTTGATGAAGGGTGGTATGTGACGCATGCATGCGTTCTCACATACATCATATATCATATCATATCTCACACGGGGATACATAGCACCGACACACAGCAACACAGAGACGCGACGCATACATACACATGTACCTACATTCATGCACACAGATGTATGTACATGAGTCGCTATGTAGCATACTTGCTTCATCCCTTCATTGTATTTTTCATTCATATATATGACTCTTTACAGGGAGCTGGGAACGGTGAGACCCTGGCAAGAGTTTAAAAAATATATGAATATATCCCATCAGTGTTACGGTCACTCATATATATGACTCTTTACAGGGAGCCGGGAACGGTGAGACCCCAGCAAGTTATCAATACATCTCACCCCACCCCACCCCACCAAACCAAAGCCCGACCCCAGCTCAGTGCGTGTGTTTGCAAGCGAACATGAACGTTATTACCCCACCCCACCCCACCCCACCCAACCAAAGCCCGAACCCAGCTCAGTGCGTGTGTTTGCAAGCGAACATGAACGTTATTACCCCACCCCACCCCACTCCACCCAACCAAAGCCCGAACCCAGCTCAGTGCGTGTGTCTGCAAGCGAACATGAACGTTATCACCCCACCCCACCCCACCCCACCCCACCCCATGTTCATGGTGGTTGTGGGTTCAGTAATGAAAACGCCTGTGTGTGTGAGCCTACTTTCGCCTGTGTGTGTGAGTCAAAAACGCCTGTGTGTGTGAGCCAACTTTCGCCTGGGATGAGCCTAAGACATCCTAAGACCATGTGGTTACCGCAGTGGTGCTTGCTTTTGTGCTTGTGCTTCGGCCAGGATGAAGACGAGGGATCTGGAACAATCAAAGGTTGCTCAGGGTTGGGCATAGATTGGCGCTCTCCGCGAACTATGGCCGAGGGAATCCTTCTGTATCCAGACAAAGATTACACATTCCAGAATGTGCCACCGGTGCTTTTTGGTGGAACCTACATTGGCAGCCATTGTTGGCCAAAAGCCGGCACATGGACCATTGAGTACCAAGCTCCGGCCAAGCTGTACGTGTGGGCTGCTCAGGGACAGTTCAATGCAGGAATCGATGATGCACTTGGTGCCGATGGTTGGACAGCAGAACCTGCAGAAAACTTATGTGGTGGCGCCATCTCCCTAAACTTGTGGAGCAAGCAATTCGACACGGGATCCTCTTACAGCATTGAGGTTGTAGGAGACACAATGGTCGGTGGCGTGATCGGAACTACTCCTTGCGTGCAGCTCACGCCTCCAACGCGGAGTGAAGCGGTTGGAGGTTGCGCAGGATTGGGTGTTGATTGGCATCCGGGACGAACTATGGCCGAAGGCATCCTTCTCTATCCGGACAAAGATTACACATTCGAGAATGTGCCGCAGGTGCTCTTGGGTGGAACCTACATTGGCAGTCATTGTTGGCCAAAAGCCGGCACATGGACCATTGAGTACCAAGCTCCGGTGAAGCTGTATGTGTGGGCCACGCAGGGCAAGTATAGTGGGGGAGTTGAAGACGTTCTTCCTGCTGACGGCTGGGCAGTAGAAGCTGCAGATGGCTTTTGTGGTGGTGCGATGGCTTTGAAGTTGTGGAGCAGGCACTTCACAACGGGATCCTCTTACAGCATCAAAGTTTCCTCAGACACCATGGTCGCCGGTGTGGTTGGCAAACAGCTGGAGTGCAGCGGCAAAGTCACCGGCTGTTCCGGTCTGGGTGTAGGCTGGAATCCTCCAAGAGGAATGGCCGAGGGCATCCTGATCTACACCGACAAAGACTACACTTTTCAAAATGTGCCTGCATGTCTAACAAGTGGCACCTACATTGGCAGCCACTGTTGGCCAAAAGCCGGGACATGGACCATCGAGTATGAAGCTCCCACCATGCTGTATGTGTGGGTCCAGCAGGGTACATACAATGCTGGAGTGGATGAGGTTCTCAAGGTGGTTGTGAGTGAAAAGCCACATACCCTTTAAACTTTTGGTCAGAGCTGGTATTGATAACTGATATGTATTGATGTTCATTCGTTCATTCCCCTCAAATTCTAGGTCTGTAGGTTTTAACATGTTTTAACCGTTTTAACCCCCAACATCTCCCAAGCATATGGCAATATGGGGACGGTGGCGGAGGCAGATGGTTGGCTTCAAGAAGACGCCAAGGATTTTCTGAACGTGGCACTGGGATTGGATGGCTTTGGTAGTGGACTTCCGCTGACCTTGTGGAGCCGACATTTTGCGAGCGGCTCCTCCTACAGCATCGAAACCAAGGATCTCATGATTGGTGGTGTGATTTCCGAATGTTCGGATGTTTGAGACTCTGTTTCATCTAGGTTTCATCTAGTTTTGAACTTTCAACGTTTCATCAAGTGCTAAAGGTATTGGTGACCTGCGTTTTCGACCAAAGGTGGAGAAACAAAGTCCGAACTGATCAGCTGAGTTACTTACACCTTTGACTTTGTAGAGTTGTGCCCATATTCACTTGCTTTGAATAAGCTGCACTCCAGGGCTGATAGCATGTGCAACATCCTTTGCATTGATAGCGATAGCATTCAGAAGCGTCGAGCGAAGGGTTCGTTTTGTTTTTTTGCAGCCGGAGCTTTGGGATCAACTTAGAGATCAAACCAGCCCAAACTTGGTGGCCCAGCCCACCATGCCGCCTGAAAGTCAAGCAGTTCTGGATGCCTTCAAACGCTTTGACAGCGATATGTCTGGCGCCATCTCCCGCGACGAGTTGGCTGAGGCCCACACCGCCATTGCCGGTTTCTCCCTGTCCCCGGCAAAGACGAAAGCGTAGCAGATCTCGGCATAGAAAGGTATACACGTATAATAAGTACCAGTAGTACCGCACAAGGCGGTGGCGGAAGTTTCAAAAATAGGAAACCTATAGGAGAGGCTGGTTGTTGTGAATCACGGATGGCAGAGCGAAGCCACTGATGGACTGAAAGGTGCTTGAGGTCTCCTCTTTTTTCCCCACCTGCCAGGTGAGGGTTGTTAGATTTTATGTCAGTTGCCTGCTCCTCTCCTCCTCTCCTCTCCTCCTCCTGCTGCTCAACCGCGACCCTCGACGCACAGTGTTCTCTGTCGGACCTCAACCACGACCATCCACGCCCAGTGTTCCCTGCCGGACCTCAACCACGACCATCCCCGCCCAGTGTTCCCTGCCGGACCTCAACCACGATCATCCACGCCCAGTGTTCCCTGCCGGACCTCAACCGCGAGTATCCACGCCAAGTGTTCCCTGCCGGACCTCATGTAGGAAGATATGGGACAAAGAATGTGCAGAAGAAAGTTAGAAAGAATGTCAGACAAGTATGTTATATTTCTGTTATATATTACTTGCAAACTCGCGCGTGTGTGGTAGAGTGACCGGGGCAATGCCACTTCTTACTTTGCAGGTGGCAAAGTTTGACGCAATCAGTTTGAACAGATGACAGAGTCACTGGGGTGGACAGAGACATTTCCACTTCTGTACCTTTGGAGCTGTTTGCAAAGACGCTTGAGACAGGCAACATCTTACAGCAAGTTACTACAAATTACTTGAAGTGATCTCATGCTGGATTGATGCTTGAGACAGTCAACATCACACAGGGTTTCTGTTGTGTATCACAGCTATGGTGGCATGGTGGATATGTGACATCGGAACATTTGTTGGAGCATTTGGGCCCTCATCTACTCGATCGCGGGCCAGAGGCAGGATGGACATCATCATAGAAGAATTCAGGAGGAGGAGGTTGTGTGATCAGTAGTGTCTTCTTGCGTGTTTTTGTTTGCTTGGCAGGTGATGGCAGAGGGTGACCAATCTGCGAGTGCTGCGCAGGCGAGGAGTTTGAGTGGAAGTAAGCACATTGGCCAGTGGCTGCTTTCAAAAGTGTTGGATAAGTGATTTGGAAAGCAGCTTGTGCTTTGACACCCTGCGCAACAGCCGACGCGAGCTCAAGCACAAGCAGAAACGTGAATAAGATAATAGTGCTCAAAGGATAGGGACATGAAACGCTTGAGAATATAAATGTAGTAGGTGTATCCCTTCGAAATGTTTCATTGAGAAAGATTGGAGAGGTTACATACTATATAGATATTTAGGTGTAGCTTGACACTGCAAGACGGACACTGTCTTTTTGCACTTGGGAAGTTTGAACACATTGGGACTGAACTGGTTTTGACCGGGAAGGTCTGGTGTTTCAAGAGCCATGGCAAAGAGATCATGGCCATTTGGTGTCACGAGTTGGGATGACACTGTGAAATTTGCGCAGCTTTTGTTTGGTGTAGACGTTGCCTTTGAGAACTATGCAGAGAGATTGCCGCATAGATCGAACAAATCCTTCTTGCTATTCGCCAAAGGCGCTTGTGCTGAGGGAAGGCCCTTCTTCGAGATTGGAGATTTCATTGCGCCACAGCTGGAAGAGATTCAACAGTGGGAAGAAAATGCTCGCAACAACAATGCTCGTCCAACGAAATCCCAGCAGATGCTGAAAGCTGACGGATGGACTGTGTACTACTGGAGTGCGCAGGTGACGCGTGCTCCGTGTCTGTGTCGCTCCATCTTTGGAGCTGACGCTCACCAGAAACACGTGCCAACTTCATCGGCCATGTGGAAAGCTGGAAGCAGATTTGAGAAATTATGGGACGCCACATTGATGAAGAACTATGAAGCTTTTCAGAATCGAGACCTGCGTCCCACTTGGCTTGACAAGTCGTGGCAGGTGTTGTGGAACTGGAATGATCACAACAAAAATCATGGAATCAGCCCTCATTCAGATGAGTCTGCCACCTACAGCAATGTTGATCCGATCACGTCCTTTTCCTTTGGGCATGGGGGTGTTGACCTTGGGCCCCAAAAAAGGTCCAGTGACAAGGATGTTGTTCCAAGAAGGCGGTGACGCTTTGGTGATGGCAGGAGACTTCCAAGCAGAGTTTTGCCATGGTGTGCCGGCGCGCTCCACTTGGAAAGATTTGAAGTTGCTTCCTATGTTCACTACAATGCAAGAGTGGGAGAAAGTTGGGCTGCAGCAGGAAATTGCTTTGCATGAAGGTGCTGCGCCAGAAGCCAAGCATGTCCGTATGAATTGCACGCTCCGCTGGCACAGCACACATTGGGCTGGATGTCCGGTGCGGGGGCAGGAAGGTCATGGGACTCAGCTGCGCACTCGCAAAATCGAAAATTGCAAGAAAGAACTAACCACGGACTTGTTCAAGCATGGTCACGTCATTGGAATGTATTGGGAGAACATTGCTCGCAGCATGGTGGAACGGGCAAATCGAGATGCGCAAGACCTGGATGTGCCGGTATTTTGTTTGCAAGCTGCTGACCAAAGGCATTCCAGAAAAAATAAAGCCATAGACAAGCAGCTGACACATCAGCTGCTCACTGTTCCAAACCCGCATCGCACTGGCAAATTGCAAGGCATGCTACTGGTGCACGAGAACATGGTTGTGCGAATGGTGGATGTCTTGGCTCCACACCTTGGATTGGTTAAAGACAAACTGGCAGTGGTAGTGAAAGTGGATTTGCACCATGAAGATCAGAAGCGCCTGGACCGTCGGGAACCTGGATTCTGTCATTTTTTCCGGACTACATGGCCAAAGGTATCTGGGTGAAATTACTTAAAGGAAAGAATTCGCCCATGGAAGATGCTCTGTTGCAGACGTGGGAAGAAAAGTTTCAGAATGTGGCCGATCACACAACTGACGCAAAGACATTGTTCTTTGTGGAATTGGTGCATGCAGAGTTCAAAATTGATTTGAAGCTAGGCGAGGAAACGGAGAAAATTGAAGTGATTCGCTGGCAGTTTCCTCTTTTGCATGGCATGCTGCGCACTGCTTACAGCGCGCAAGGCTTGACTTTGGACGGAGGTGTGCTGGTTGATTTGCGTCGTGGTGGTGGCCTAGAGGATGCCGACTGGTGGCTAGCCATCTATGTCATGCTGACGCGTGCCCGCAAACTGAAGAATCTCATCTTGCTGGGGTTCACGGAGCAAGTGGAGGAGCTTTTACGCAGAGGCCCTCCTACCTACTTGCGAGAACTGACTGACAAGTTGGAAACCAAAGCTGCTTCGACGCTGGAGCGGCTGCAGTCCTGGCCTGTCTATGATGCATTGCAAGCATCCTGACACAGTGCTCTGCCAGTGGGACCTAATCGGTTTTGACTGAAGAGGTCCGGGGGAGGCATAGGCCAGGCGGCCTGACACGTTGCTCTACCTGTGGGACCTAATCGGTTTTGATTGAAGAGGTCTGGTGGAGGAATAGAGAGTTGCAGCTGCAGCGATCTGGTGAAGTAACGCTGGCATGGTTTTGTCTAGTTTACACACGAGCTTGCGAGCTTTTGACTTTGGTTCAGGTGGTCCACTGGCTTGTTTCAGTCATGTTTTTACAAACATGTTTGACAGGCGGTGTGCTGTCATGTTTGGGCATGTTTGTTTGTTTGGCTCAGGTGGTCCACTGGCCTGTTTGGTCATGTTTAAGCAAACCTGTTGAGAGCTCTGGAGTTTGCTTCACATGGCCCACTGACATGGATATATCCTGTTTGACAGACTGACATGCACAATGACCTGCCAGGTGAAACAAATGATTGGGATAGTTAGTTGGGCAAAAGTCCCGTGACAAAAGCTTCAGACAAAAGTGGTGTCAACAAGCTGTTTTGAAATGTCATGGTGGGGATCACTTGAAGCAAAGTCATTTTTTTTCCTCTCTCTCGCTCTCTCTTTTTCTCTCTGTTTCTCTATCTTTCTCTGATTATCTACCTACCTACCTACTGATCTATCTGTCTACCTATCTATCTGTCTGTCTGTCTATCTATCTATCTCCCTATCTATCTATCTACCTACCTATCTATCTAGCTGTCTAGTTTTCTAGCTATTTGTCTATCTATCTATCTATCTACCTATCTATCTATCTATCTATCTACTGTATCTATCTATCTATCTATCTATCTATCTATCTATCTATCTATCTCTCTCTCTATCTATCTATCTATCTATCTATCTCTCTCTCTCTATCTCTCTCTCTCTATCTCTCTATCTATCTATCTATCTATCTATCTATCTATCTATCTATCTATCTATCTATCTATCTATCTATCTATCTATCTATCTATCTATCTATCTATCTATCTACTGTATCTACTGTATCTACTGTATCTACTGTATCTACTGTATCTACTGTATCTATCTATCTATCTATCTATCTGTCTATCTATCTATCTATCTATCTATCTATCTATCTATGAATCTATCTATCTATCTATCTATCTATCTATCTATCTATCTATCTATCTATCTATCTACTTATCTATCTATCTCTGGGTCTGTCTGTCTATCTATCTACCTGTCTATCTGCAAGCTTGAAAACCGAACTATTCTGCGAGACTTCTTCATTTTTCAAAGTTGACCACATCAAAAACGCAGCAATTCTGCGTGACTTGCTCATTTTTCAAAGTTGACAACATCAAAAACGAAGCAATTCTGCGAGACTTCTTCATTTTTCAGTGTTGACGACATCCAAAATGAAGCAATTCTGCGAGACTTTTTCAAGTTTTACTCTTGAGAACATCCAAAACGAAGCAGTTCTGCGAGACTTCTTCAAGTTTTAAACTTGACAACATCAAAAACGAAGCAATTCTGCGAGACTTCCTTCAAAAATGGAAAGTTGAGTGCAGCGCTGACGGCCTCGTGCCAATGCGTTGTGCGATTTTTCCACCCCACCTGTCGAAAGTACTGCGCCTGCCACGAAAAATAGATGCCAGGTCATACGAAGTGCTGCACATGTCACGCAAAATCATCTTAGGAAATCGACATATCTGATGCTTCAAAATGCAACCCCTCTCAGGAAATCAGCGCCCTGACCTCCTAACATCTCTGATGAACATGTCTCTTGTACTGCGCCTGCCAGGCGAAATGCATCTTTGCAGATCCTCTTCAAATGTCCCACGCCTGCCATCCTTTTTGGAAATGCTACAAAACCATCACGTTTTGCTCACTTTTGACACGGTGCACAATCCCTTGCGCCTGCCACGCAAAACCACATCTGAACCTCCAAAAATGGTCCGTACATGGTGTGCTTTGTACATTTTGACTTGGAAATGTGCTTCGCGCCACAGCGACGTGCACTTTTGCGACATCTCAACTTCCAAAAGTGGTCCGAAGCTGGTGTGTTTTGTGCATTTTCACTTTGAAATGTGCTTCGCGCCACAACGGCGTGCACTTTTTCGACATCTCAAGTGCCAAAAGTGGTCCGCACCTGGTGTGTTTTGTACATTTTGACTTCGAAACGTGCTTCGCGCCACAACGGCGTGCACTTGTTCTACATCTCAACTGCCAAAAGTGGTCCGCACCTGGTGTGCTTTGTACATTTTGACTTGGAAATGTGCTTCGCGCCACAACGGCGTGCAATTTTTCATCTCTCATCTGGCCAGCTGGCTCCGCACCCGCCGCTTCAGCGAGCCTACTTTTCGACCCTCCGGAGCCACAAATCATTGGAAAAACACAGTGAAGCGCGACTTTCCTACCTTTTCGCGCATCTCCATCTTCTTTCTTCTTACTCTTTCTCTTCTACTCTTCTCTCTTCTGATCTTTCTCTTCTCTCTGCCTCTGCCCTGCTCTGCTTTTGATTTGTCCATATTGTCGGAAGTTTGACTTCTAAACTTCCTTCGATAAGTTATAGTATAAGGTATTATGGACATTTATGGACCATATATCAGCTTCTGAAGGTTTGGAGGTTTTGTTTTGGGAAGGATTTTCTTCGTGTTGCCGGCCTTAGTACTATAGCTGCACGTTGAGAGGGTAATCTTTGCGGCACGCCATGGCCAGGTGTTGAAGGCCCTGGAAGGCTCCCAATGGGACGATGCCTCCGTTGATGAATTGCTGGCAGCTGCTGATGAGAGTGGCGATGGCGAGTTGCAGGTGGAGGACCGCTGGCTTTGATTGGAATGAACGAAGTTGATGATGGGAATCGCCACCATCTAAGGAATCTAGGGTTTTGAGTTTTGGGATTCTTGTCATTCCCAAAATGTTTTTCTGCCAGTTGCATGCAGCGATGAAAACACTGCCCGGCATACATCGGTGTGTGCCGACATCATTGATGTGAATTAACCATTGACATTTCCTCCATGATTATTGCACCAAGTCACACAGCAACCGCAGCTATCCTCTGAAGGAGTTTGTCAAGTGGGTTTTCGCTGAAGACCAAGCCATCTCTGGTGGTGTCACGGGCAAATTCACCTTGAAAGTTTCGGGTTGTTCCAGACCAGAGCTCAATGGCGTCTATGTGAAACAGCCCGAATGCTACTATCGGAGGCCAATATTCCATTGCATTGAGAATGAGAAGTATTTGTTCTACCACGGAAAGAGGCTCTCAGTCTCAAAGGGCTATATTTTTGTGTTGTCTGTTTTGCACATTGGACTGTTCAGAAGTGTTTCTTAAGACGTCTCAAAGTATCATTTTGTTTGGCCAGCACAGTGTTTTGGAGATTTTTTCTGTGGATGATTTCTGATCTCCGGATGGGAACGGGGGAGCGGAAACTTTCTTCAGACGTGTCAAGCTGTCATTTTGCGTGAGGTGCAGTGCGGACATCAGAGTGTTATGAGTTGAAGGTTGTGAAGATTGTCGTCGCATGCCAAGAGTGATGATATGTGATGATATGTGATGATATGATTCTATGATTCTATGATGATGCTTTAGATTGTTTCAAACACCTTTTTTCAAGGCTGATGTTTGATTGGTCGCAACCTCTCATGGTTTCGCAGCAAGGCAACAGTGGCAGATCTATTCCAGAACAGGAAAATATGCATCGGCCCGTTTAAAGACGCATCGCGCAGCTCACATGCCTGGAGACAACGTGAAATGGGCTGTTTGGACAACCACTGCCGGTCCCTTGGCAGCGGATATGATCTTGCACACGTCACACTTGAACTGGAGGCGTTTTGGGTGGGGTTCGAGTTGGAGTTGAAAGGAACTTACTCTTACTGTTGGGTCGTAGATGCGGAAGGCAGAAGATATCATCCTTTTTGCGTATGCTTTGTCCAATGCCCTTGCGGACTGTCTATCGTAGAAGGGGTTGAATTGGTTTGAGAATGCAATCGTGGCAATATTTTCCCATCGGGTATGTGTGCAGCAAGCTGCAGCAAACTGTTCTTGCATTATAGGCTACGCAGCGGTTCAAAGTGTAGGTGTTTTTGCCTTTCCGAGGCAAGAAAAAGAGTTTCGTCAAAGAGTCGCAGATGAGCTGCACCGCAGAGCCGCCTTTGACGCCTGAAGAGAAGCGTGCCAAGGCGGCTGATGCGGTGATGTTTGGGCGAAAAGATATTTTCAAACAGATGAGCTACGTCTTGGGCAACAGACCTGTATACCACCAACGCTCAGAGCGCTTCATCTTCTATGAGGAGCCCAAGAAAATGTGGAAGATGGGCGAATCCGCCGTTCTCGGCAAGCCCTCGTTGTACACATCACGGATAACGGATGTGTATTCACCAGATATGGCCGTATGGATGGGTGACTCTGGTAAGATTCAGGTGCTTGGATTGGATGGTGAAGAGGTTCCCAAAGGCTGGCGCCCTGGCTTGAAGGTCAAGGAAGTGGAAGATGGATGGAAAGACCCTGATTTTCCCCACAGCAATGATTCAATTGGCACAAAGGCAGAAGGAAAATATGAACAAAATCGCTGGCTCAGGGCCTTGGGTCTACATGCGCGCCCAACGCTTTTTGCAGATCTGGAGCCTGCTGATGCATGCCAAGGGATTGTCGACAACTGTTGGCTCATATCAGCAATGTGTGCAGTGGCCGAATTCCCTTCATACATCAAGAACAACCTCTTTGTGACCAAGAAGGCCCGAGGGTTTTGGAAGTGACCCTGACACAATGAGGTGCAAACCTAGACAGGGTTGTTTCATATATGAAAACATGAGGAGTTGACGACCCTGTCGACGGTGTCAGCCCCGGAGGTTTCTAAAGATGGCAAGTACCAGGTTAAGCTTTTTGATGGCCGCAGCAATCGCTGGGAGATCATTGAAATTGATGACTACTTGCCATGTGCTTCTTGGGGTGGCGACCAGCCGGAGCTGA